CCCGTCGGGCTCTCCCTCCTTCCCTCCCTCCCCTCTTCCCACTCCGGGCTCCTCTCCCTCGCCCACACTTTCTTTCTCACACACGCTCGCAGATACATTCTCCCTCTCCGCGCTCTCTCCCCGTCTCCCTTCCTTTCTCTTTCACTTTTGCATGCCCTGCAACCTTTTAAAATGTTGCCCCTTCCCTGTGATTCGCCAGACGCCGCGCCGCGGCCCCCCGCGCGCTCGCCCGCTCCCTCTCTCGCCCGCTTTTTGTCTCCGGTGCTCCGGCTCCCCACCTCCGATTTGCTACACTGAGGCTGCCGTCAATGGACTGCATTGAGAGCCGGCTCCGGCGCGAGTTGCCGCTGCGCTTCACGCTCGATTTCCAGGCATTCTTCCCTTATTAAGTATTCGTGTAATATTAATAGTCATGAATATCTGCTATTAGGAGGCTCCAGGAAAGCTGCCCAGCGCGGTTATTAGAAGCTCGAGCGAAGCCGCCGCTAAGAAAAGAGGGGAGACACGGCTTAAGGAACACGCGCGCGCGCGCTCACACTCACACACAGAGACACACACACAACGCGCGCACACACACACACACACCTACACAGACACACTTTTTCTGTTGGGGGGGCTTTTCGTTTCCTAAGGAACTTTGAATCACAACCGGTCACGGCAGGATAGAGACCGTGGGTTCGACCAGCTGAAGGCGCCGCTCCAGTCGGCGGTTCAAGTTCGGATGGCCCGGAGCGGGGCTCCAGCGCGCGGGGGAGCGTCGGCGTGGTGACTGGAGTCGCGGGTGGCTCGGGGCTCCCGGCGCCTTTTGTGTGGGGCGTCCTCGGGCGGCAGGGCAGCCGGGCTCTCCGGGCTTGCTTGTGTTTTTTCCACCCTGACTCGTTACCCCAGACTCTTCGCAGATGTTAGTTCACAGTTTTTCAGCTATGGTGAGTCCCCTCCCCACCCCCATCCCCGTTTCCCTAGGAGTTCCCTCCTGGAAACCTGGTGCTGCGGAGCCGCGAGAGACCTCGGGTTTCGCGGCCAGGGTTCCCCCGGGGCGCCCCTTTCCATCTGCATCTCCCTCTTTCCTCGCCTCCGTTCTCCGATTCCCTGGTCCCTGCTCGGCATCTCCCGGCGCGCGGAGACCTACCTCGCCGCCGCTCCCCAAGGCGCGTTTCTCGGCACGTTCCCCTTTCTTTTCTCGCCTCTCCTCTCGTTCCTGAGACGCGCTCGACCTGGGATGCTAAATCCGTTTGCAGAAAAAGACTCAGCCCGATGTGCCCCCGACCCTAGCGGCCGGCGCGGAGCCTCCCAGGGTTTGCATTCCCGGGAACCAACTCTGTTCACTTGTTTTGCAAGCGGATTTCCATACAGGAACAGAAAGTCAGGCGATTCTCCTGCCCTTTGGGGCTGGGGTGGAAGGGGCGGGGGCCTCCGCCCCGGGGTGCACCTCTCATTTAAACCCAGTAGAGCTGCATCTTTCTGTTTTAAACCTTGACTCGACGCCCCGTTCTCTCCATCCAAACCTTTAATCGACCCTGTGGAGACCCGGGCTCCTGACTGGGGACCTGGGAAAGACAGAGTCCCCCGCCCCCAGCCTGCAGCGCAAACCTCCTGTAAGCTGGTCATTTAAACGTGTGCTTTCGTTACAGCCCCACGACGAGGTGTTTGTATTTAGTCAGGAAATGCTAATAGTCTTTGAACGTGGAGGATTTCCCCCTCCAAATAAATGGAACTGGGTAAACAACAAAGTTCAAATCCGGGGGGGGGGGGCGCTTCTACTGTTTAATATTTAGTAGGAATTTTAATTTTGCTTAAGGGAGGTTTCGTGCCGCAGCTGATCGGGCTCTGTTCTGGGAGGCCCCTTTCGGTCCGCTCCCACCTTTCAAAGAAACGGGTACGGAGCGCCTCTGAGCCCCCCCACACACGCTCACATTTGCACGGCCTAATTCCCTGCGTTTTGGGAAGGGCCCGTGTCCCTTCTGGGGTATTTTCCGAAAGGAGCACCTTGGAGCCCAGGTCTTTCTGCGGCCTGCGCACGGGAAGGCGCGGTTCCCCACGCAGCCTCGCGGAGCGGGCTTGGTGCGGGCCGCTGCAACTCCACGCCTGACGCCCTGTTCTTTCCTTTCCTCTCGCACTCCCCTAGGACCGTCACGACGGCACCAGCAACGGGACGGCACGGTTGCCCCAGCTGGGCACTGTAGGTCAATCTCCCTACACGAGCGCCCCGCCGCTGTCCCACACCCCCAATGCCGACTTCCAGCCCCCCTACTTCNCCTATCTACCCCCAGTCGCAAGATCCTTACTCCCACGTGAACGACCCCTACAGCCTGAACCCCCTGCACGCCCAGCCGCAGCCGCAGCACCCGGGCTGGCCCGGCCAGAGGCAGAGCCAGGAGTCTGGGCTCCTGCACACGCACCGGGGGCTGCCGCACCAGCTGTCGGGCCTGGATCCCCGCAGGGACTACCGCCGGCACGAGGACCTCCTGCACGGCCCGCACGGGCTTGGCTCAGGACTCGGAGACCTCCCGATCCACTCCTTACCTCACGCCATCGAGGACGTCCCGGTAAGCGCCCGCGCCCCCCTCGCGGAGGTGCCCGCCGCGCGCAGCCGCGGGGCCCGGGGGTTCCTCCTTTTTTATTTTCTTATTGTATTTTATTTTTTTGGCCGAGCGCTTTAAGGACCCGCCTAGACAACCGAATTAAAAGATTAAAAATAAGCTGAGAGTTCTGCCCCTAGAACAATGGTTCCTGAAACTCCTTCAAACAATGCCTGCGCCAACACAGATAAATCAGACCAGTGTCACAATGTCTTCGCCTCTCCGCGACACTAAACTGTTTCTACCCGGAGAGGCCCTGATTCCACAGCCGATTCTGGCGTGGGGATCTCTCCCTGTCCTGAAAAAGACGTGAAATTCAACCGAGAGGGCTCATTAAGCGCCCTGGCAATTTAAAAGAAAGTGTAAAAGACGTACTAAAAAATTATTTTTACTGGATCTTACACACATTAGTGATATCTGAAACTTATGTGTATCCCCTCCCCTGATTAAGGAATAGTTAAGTAGCAAATCTGAGCAGGGGGACATTAAAATGCAGCCCTCTCTTCCTAGGGGTGCTAAGTGCTGACCTCATAAATCATTAGCTAGGTCCCCAACGCCTATCAGAACCTGCTACACCCCGTATTAAATAAAATCTTCTGAGACTATTGGGCAACGTTACTTGAGTTTTAATTCAGTTATCAATAAATGCGGTTTAAAATGATCTCTTAATAAGCATGGCATTAGCACATTTACTATTTACAATGTAAACCAGCTATTGATAATTTGAAAATACTTTCTGAAATTAAATTTAAACCAGCATCTCTGCTTCAATTCTACATATTTATGGTTTCCTCACAACCTTCCTGAAATGGAATTAGAACAAGCCAATAATTTTATTAAAGCTGTAAAGGCTCTATTAATGCTGCTTTTCTTTGGAGAGGAAATGTATCTGGATGTGATTTTTGCTAAAATGCTATTTCAAATTACTGCATCAAATATTGCAGCAATATGTCCGTTGACAGTTTAATGATTACTGCATTAGATTGCAAAGGAAATGGTCAGATGAACTTACCTGCTTGCTTGGTGAATTTAAAACTTTATTTAAGTTACATAGGAAAATAGAAAATTTATTACATCTCTCATTTAGCTCACTTAATCACTGAAATTTGTTGGTTGTGTTTAGCAGCCTTGCATGGAAAGCAGAAAAGTAGAAACTTGATTCAACGTGGGGCTTAGTAAGCAGTGTGTGTGTGTGTGGATGTGTGCTCGAACATGTTTTTAGAAGCTGATGCTAAACGGTGCATTTCTCGGGAAGGAAAATGAAAGGAGCAATAGTTGAGAAAAGAGCAATTAAAAAACAAACCTGAAAGTTGCGATCATCTGAGTTCTTCCCAAAGGGTCTGTGAATCCTTTCCGTAGCCTGGTCCTTGGCAATATTTGAATTGCAAAATAATGTTGCAGGCTTTTGGGACTACTGTGAATTAGAATTGCTCCACTTTGCAAAAATTCCAAAGTGGCTGGTGTGAATTCTTAACACCTGTATAGTCACTCTTTGTGGTGAAATGGGCCAGTAGGAGAAATTAACCAAAAGATCAAATAAAAACAAGGAAACCCAGTTGCCGCTCTCCCCCTCCCTCCCCACCTTTTAAGAAAAAAAAAAAAAAATCTTTCAAAGGAATTTGGGTCAGGAAAAGGGTTGTTTTCAATTTTCCCATTGCTGCAACAGTTAACCTTTAATAAGAATGACTGCTAAATATTTAAGAAAATCAAATCGATGGTGAAAATTATTTAATCATTAATATCTCAGTGGGGTTTTAAACTTAACAATCTTCCCTGTACGGACAAGGTCTAGAAATAACACAAATAAAAGTATTATGCCACACTACATTTACTTTATGAGTTTAGGGTGCATGCATAAAGGGATCATATTTCCCCATATAGTTAAAACACAAGAACTGCAGCAGTACTCATTTCTGAACATTTCTCAATTTAATTATACTTAAATCCAGAAGCACTTTAGGCAAGTTACAAATGAGAGCATTGAGTATAATAAAACCTGTAATAAAGCAACTTAGTACCATCCACCCGGAATCATTGCGATCAGGCACAATTAACAGGAGCATAAATCCAAGACAGAATGGAAAATGTTTGAATCAGTATTATTGTTGGACAAAGACTAGAGAAGGAAGTAATAGTTTTTTAAATGGTAATGCCTGTGTTTGGTAACGATTGCGAAATCTTCTATCTCAGCAGCCCTGGTGCTAATTTGTAAACACAGCCAGACATTATATTGCCTGTCAGTTTCTGCATTAGAAAACATGATTTCATTTTACTTTCTAATCACGTTTTGACTCTGGCACACACATATACCCATCCATCTCCAAAAAGATAAAGGAAAAAAACCCACCCCAACAAATCTGCTGCTGGACAACAGGAAAATAATCGCAAAGGGGTTTTTTTTGTTTGTGGGGTTTTTTTTGTGTGTTTTTTTTATCATTTATATTCCTATCTGATATCCAGTTCAGGCAGTCGCCCTTTTTAAAAACACACACATTACCTTCCTTTTTCCATAAGTGAACGTGTGTGTATACGTTTACTGCTTATCACACTACCTCCGGCGTTTCCAGCACTCCCCTGCTACTCCCGCCTCTGTCATTTCTATTGTGTTTCTCTGGCTTTTGCTGCCTGAGTCCTGGAATCACTAAAAGTCCGAAGCCGCTGAGGCGCCAAAGTAATGCTAGGTGCATTTAAAAAGGGTGAACTGATTGTGAAAAAGATTAGGTGCTCCAAAACTTGATTTTAATTTCCAAAGAAAGTTTTATTCCCCACCCCCACTTCTTTCAAACGCGAATTATTTACTGGGGGGCGGGGGCAGGAATTGGCCGCGGGTGTGCAGTGAAACCTCTTGAGTTGCAAAGCCCCAAATTCCAATAAGCCAATTTGAGATGTTTATATATAAATGTCACTGTAAGGGGGGAATTTCGATTCTACACCTTCCCCTCCCCCCGTCTTGCTCGGAATATTCATTTCCTTTTGTTTTGATTATACACTTACATCCATGTGTATCCTTTTGTTGCAGCATGTAGAAGACCCGGGTATTAACATCCCAGATCAAACTGTAATTAAGAAAGGTAAGCCATTTCCTTTTGCATTCCAAGCATGTCCTTACAGGCACAGTGCTATTTAAAAGAACTTGCAGAGCTGTATTTATTTTTTTCAAATACGATTTTCCTAAAGGCTCAGAATTAGCAAATAGGCATAGAACAGCAATGCGTGGATGATCGGCTTTCAGTAGGTTAGCAATGGCAACAGGCTAGCTTTGTTCTGATTCATGATTTGACCATTTAATTTAGTTTAATGATATCTGGACAAACACATAAAATGCGTAATAGTTAAACTGATTTGGAAGTGGCATTTCAATTTTGAAACGTTTTAGTTTAGTTTTAATCCATTGTGTGAGTGGCCAGGAGTGTTACGAAGTGATATGCTAAGAGTGCAAATAATTTATTATTAATACAAGGGCAGATGATAAAAAGACATAACACTCCTTAGGAGGGGGGGGGACCTTCCATGTTTTTTCAATTTAATTTCTCATTAGCTCTTTAAGGGATTTTAAACTTTGTGAATTAGGTTAACAAAAATTTGGCTTTTGGTTAAAATTAGCATCTTGGAGATGTCAGGATTGTTCATAGCAAAAGTTGTTTAAAAGTGTCCAGTGATTTGGATGGATTTGTAATTTGTATTGTATTTAGTGAGTAGAAATAAAGTTTACTGGAATAAATGCTGTTCACAGCAGCTTTTTTGTTGTTGTTATGGTGGCAATGTTACATTTCAGGATTGTAGGCACCACCAGAGGACGGTGCTATATAAAACTGTTCTCATTTCTAACCCCAATCAGTATATTGTTAGCTAAAGTTTCATTTTTGCATCTGTGAAGTCTTTGTCACGTCAAATTAGATGTGCAAGGGATAAATCTTAAGAGATGCTCTTTCCAAGTCGACATGATAATTGGCTCTTTTATTAGTAATCTCTCAAGAGTTCGTTTAACTCCTATTGTCTCTATTAGCCTCCCCAGAGCTATTAATGTCACAAGTGATCTATCCAAAACTAGAGCCCCCCACCTCCCCATACATCTAGAATATCACATGGAAGAGGGAGGAGTGTGGCAGTGAGAATATGCATATTACTATACGTCTCCATGTAGGATTTTAAAAATACAAATGCTCCCTCCCTGTACTTAAACGGTTGTGAAGGCATCTGAATGAGGGTGGCGTTGAGAAATGTAACCTTAGTACACTTTTCTGCTGGACTTAAAATTTTTTTTTTTTAACTATAGTGGGTCCAACAATGAAGAGCTAATGATTTTAACTGGTAATAGACCCCCCACCCCCACCGCCTTCCCAACGGAGACGCTCAACTGTTTGCTCAACACATCACTAGTCCTGTGGTCGGCCTGTCTGTCCTTCCCTCCAGCGCAGGCCGGCTTGGAAAGGCTCTCCAAAACGCGAGCCTTCCTCCAGCGGCACGTAGGAAAGGGCCTGTTCATCAGGAGGACGGGGCACGTGGGGCGTGAGGCTACAGGCCGCTTCCCAGGCTGGCTGCCTTAACCGAAAAGGCTCATTTACAGGCTGATCTGCCACCTGAACTCTGGGCTGACTTTAATGAGAGGTCTCTGAAGTGGCCCCCCCGCCCCCCAGCACTCATTCCGCAAGGCTCCCGAAGCACACGCGGTCTGCTTGCCCTTGGTCTGCAGACGTCCCCCTCCCCTGCGCCCAGGCCCGTGCAGGAGGGAGCCCCTCGGCGCGGGGAGCTCCGAGGGTCACAGGGTCCCCACCGCCTCCAGGCAGCACCCCCGAGGCCGAAAGGGGAGGTCCAGGCCGAGGCGCAGCCTGGCGGCGGGCC